TTTTGTCTAATTGTTATTCTTCTTTTGCTGCTTTTCCTCATAACATTTTTAGCCTATTTTTTCTGCCATTAAATTAGGGATAACAGTTTTGACAGCAGAAATGCTTAATCCAATATCTTTAAGTTTTTGATATATGGAATACACATTTGAATCTTGTATGAAGCTAATTCTTTGTTCCAAATTACTGGATTGTAATTTAACAGCAAAAGAACAGATAAGTTAAAATATTTTATAATAAAAAGCAATAAAAAACGAAAAAAAGAAAACTCTTCAAAATTAATAATAAAATCTGTGTAATAATCAGAAACATGCCAATTCGGAATCCCAAAACAACTTGAAAATATTAATCCTTACACTGTGACTAAATGAAGAAGTTCCTGTTTGTGATGTATGGACATTAACAATCAACTATTTTTTTTCTTATAATTATATCTGCAAAGATCTGGAGATAATACACAAGGAGTGATGTTTTACTAACATTCATAATACCAGAATCTTTTATCAGGTCTGTAAGATTTTCAAAGACAAACATTAAAAAAGAATGTTTTTGAAACCAACTTTTGATTAAACATAGCAAGAGAAGAAATCAAAGAACAAAATTGAACATATCACATTTGAATAAAATACACATTTTGAACCACAAACTTTAAAAACATCATAACTTGGTTCAAACACAACTTTATTAATCAAAGTAAGAACCATTGGAATTGATGCTATGTTACCATATCTGACAATGAATTCATTCTATCACAATAAAAACTGGTGTCATGCGAATACACAGATAGCCAGAAGACATTTTCTATTTAACCTGCAACTGTGTCTATATGCAGGTGTTATATTAAGCGTATGGTAGCGAGAGAAAGGAATAATGAGGATTAGAGTGAAACAACGTTTATTGCTGGTAGATAGTACAAGAATATGGTCAGGTGTACATGTAATGTTGGGAATTGAACTATTTCTTATGCCAGCATGGCCCAGGTCACAAGATACAGTGACTGCATGTTTGCTTGATTGTGGTCACAGTTGTAGGTCATCTTGTCATGGTAGATCTATTGTATGGAACAGATGTCATTGGGGTTGACTGCAAAGGAAGTGACTTGCAAATGAGCCAAGGTAAGATGAGGTGATGGCAGGTTTCAGGAGGCCAGTTCTGCGTCAACTGTGAAGGGAATGCCTTGTAAGCAAGTTGAGGTGGAGCTGTTGTGTGGAACTGATGTTGTTGCATCTACTGTGAAGGGAATGCCTTGTAAGTGAGTCAAGGTAGGTTGAAGTAGGCCAAGGTGACAGCAGGTTTTGGGAGACCAGTTCTGCAGAACAGAGATAGCTGTGTCAACGGCGAAGGGTTCTTTGTAAACAGGTCAAGGTAAGCAAGTCAAGGTATGTTAGGGTGGGCTGAGGTGATGGTGAGTGTTGGTATGGAAGCTTGTGGCTGGAAGGTATTGAGGTAAAGATGTTGAGTTGAAAACTGGATAGCCAAGGTTGTTTTAACGGTTGTTGAAATTCATGGTTGTGTAGAGTGATGGCAGTGAAGGCAGTGACTGTGGTGATAATAGTACTTTGCCTGGTAGCCAGTCCACCACTCTGTTGTCATGGTGATGGGGTCATGGTGGCGGTAGCAGCAGCAGCAATCTGCGTAACGACTGGCAGCTGCACCGGCTGTAAATGTCTCTTGTTCATCCTCAGAACCTACTTTTAAGCAGTTCTGGTAGTCCCAAGGGGCATCTCTTTAACTGGCGGGAACATTCGCAATTGGCCACTGTCAGACTTCACTTTGTAGATCAGATGTTGCTGCATGGAGCCCAATGTGCAGAAATGACTTTTGTTATTTCCACTTCCACCCTTGCAGCGTTCACATCTGGCTAGTGTGTAGAATGAATCAAAATAAGATCTAAATGTGACGGAGTATAACACCGGCACATATGCATCCAAGGTGTGGGAAAGGTGGTAATTGGTATAGAACAGATCCAGTTAATAGTAGTGTAGTGAGAGGCAGGACCTCAGTGCCCTAACTGCATCAGTTTTTACTGGGTGGTTTGTGAAGTAGAAAATCTTGTATTATCTGCAGCAAGATATTTTTTTAAAAATTTTAGCACTACTGGCCAAATGTTTTCAAATTTTGATATATTAGTCCCAGTCATATCTATGAATTTTAGTGATGATCTGATCAGGTTGCAAAAGGTTGTAATGGTTTATTCTATTACAGCATCACCAAATGGTTAAGAGGAATATTTGGTTTTGGAAAGAATGAGTGGAGAAACAAGCTTGTCAATCTAAAGAGGTCATATTTCTGATTATCAAACAGAAAATAATTTTCATAAAAAGTAAGCACATAATCAAGAATAGAGTATTTTTTTAGATGAACAAGTAAATTGCAGCATGTGCTCAAACTTTGCAAACTGATAATCATCAATCAAATCATAAGGTTACCCACTATAGTTTCTTTCATTTTGCTGACTGTTGTATACCAACAGATTTGCTTCCAATGCCTGAGTGTTTGTGAATGTATCTCAACTTTTCATTGTTGAGTAACAGGTTTATTTTGGAAATCCAAATTTTTGTAAACCAAAATACATATAGCCTGAAGTTGGTTTCAGCTTATAAGAACAGTTGATGATATGGGTGGTTTCAGCAGTACAATAGCCAAACTCATGGAGTATAATGACATGAAAATCACAATTATTCATTTTTACTTTGATAGCTATAGGGAAAAATTCAAAGTAATAAAACTTCAAGCAACACTGAAAAGAGATCAGTCAAGTCACTTATGTGCCATGCGTGATACACACTTAGGTGATCATGTATCTTTTGATACACGACTGACGAGGCAGGTTTTTCCTGCAGTAGGTTGCCATTTCTTTCTGCGGTAGACCAGTTGCCATCCAAGGCTAAAGAACCTGGTCTGTCCTGCTATTTACCCATAGCTGGGGGGAAAAGAAGAGGATTCATACCTTTCCCAAGGGTATTAGTATGTAAGTGAATGTAATGGATTCAACTGGAATTTAAACATGGCTCTCCGATTCCTCAATCCAAGCTGCTATCCATTATTCCACTGTGCCTCCTTAGAGATATAGAAATTTAAAACAATATATAGATCTATATGCAAGCAAAAGAGAAAAAAGACACCCATTCTAATGCAATGTAAAAATGGACGTTTATTTTGTTCCAATCAAATATTTGTTAAAAAAAAGAGTGCTAAATACCAATAATGCTCAATAAAATATATTTTCTGTTTATCAATCAGCAACATTATAATCTCAGTTTATCATGTTATTAATCAGCTAATTTTAAAAATAAACGTTTTTATTTTAAAAATAGTCCTAATTATTCAAAATGAAAATTTAAAACTTATATATTAAGGAAAACCAAATCTGCTTTTTTGATTGCAAGCCAAAACTGGTACAGAAGATTTTGCCCTGCACCATTAAGATAAAAGATTCTAATGTAAAATCTGATTTCATGCTTAAAGAGCTGAGGCCTCATTTTCATTCTTAGAAAAATTCTAATGGATGGCTTTAAAATAAAATTAGTAAACAAGAGTGCTAATCCTGAAAGCCGTTTTAACCTAAACATTGATTGCAGGTAACTTAGTTATTAATGGTTATTATGGCCTAAAATCTTGTGGGAGATTAATGATTTCATAATCAAAGAATGTTGGAAACTGATCAACTATATCATTATTTTTGTCTTTTTTTCTATACATTTTGTCTAGTTAATTGATTTTCCAGCTCTCTCCTGGAATTGTCAGATGTTCAGTTTCTTTCTGATTCATTAGCTGTGTTGTATTGTAGATAGACTGTGTAGTTTTTCTAAACCTGCTTTTTGTATGTTATGATTTCATTACTGGCTTCTGTATGGATCTGATTACTCCACTTGGATTACTAAATTTTTATTTTACCATAAGTACCAATGACTTGTTTCTATATTTTCTAGTGGGATTCATATGTAAGCAGTAATATTTTTTCTATATGTGATTTGTTATGTTTGATTCTGTGGCCCATGTTAAATCCAAAAACTTCCTGTACTCTACAAGTCTTATTTTGAGGTAGGAGCTAGTAGGGTCTATTTTGGAAGCAATTTTTTTTTTTTTGCATATTTGATTGAAGACGTTGGAAATATTTCTTTTGATATATTTTTTTATTTAAAATAAAATTTTATATTTTTTATTTAAAATAATAAAATTTTATATTTTTTATTTAAAATAACTGATATAAAATATTCAAATTATGTAAGATGAAATATATGTATTTTTTATGTTTTGCTCAACAAGAACATCATCAGAACAACTGAAAAGTTAAGGAAAAATCTTTACCATGGCAACCTTTCTACTTAGAAATGCTACGGTTAACAAGTATATGCCTGCATTTGTGTAATAATAATAATAATAATAATAATCATTAATTAGTAGTGATGATTGTGTTGATGCTACAATCACAGTAAAGAAAGAATAATAAATATGACAGCCAGAAACTGTAACCAAAATAAAAGAGGACAACAGTGAGAAGAAAGTCAAATTTATAGAGCTTTTGAGGAAAATGAAAGGACATTAAGGAGATTTGTTTTTGCTTGATCCTCAGCAAGGTCAAGGAACAAAGTGTTGTTCCTTAGTTCTTTGCCTTAAATCAAAATGTAGTATCTGTGTGCACTGTAAAAAGCATTACACAAAATATATAATATATATGGGTACACATTGTATTTTGTGTAGTTATTCATTAAGAAACTGGTTTCTTAAAGATGAAGATACAATAATTAGAGAGTGAGATAACGGAAAAGATACAAAATCCAATTCTTGTTGCTATTTGTTGCCTGCTATTATTTGAACTGTAATTAATATCCCTTTTGCTTTGTGCAAACACAAGCTGAAATAAAATAGCCGACAGCTTAAATTGGAGATGTGGAAGGAAGAATAATGGATTTTATCTTTGCTTGGAGGAGTAAGTCAATTACCATGGAATGTTCTGTTGACAATGATGATGACTGTTTTGTAAATGCAGCATCATCATATGCCACAGGTTTATGTTTTTTTAAAGGTAGTTTTCAATATCCCTTCTATTTCTCCACATCCCTTTTTGCCATTTCTATTTTTTGTCGCTTTCTTTCTTTTTGCATATTATCTCTTTCTCTTTTTATATTCTTTTCTTCTCCCCCTCTTTTTTTATTTTTTTTATAGTTTTTTATTTCCTTTATTTCTTCTCATTTTCCATCTAATTATCTCACCTTCCTCCTTCTCTGTTTTTCTACTTCATCAAATTTCCAGTTTTATATTTTCTCTTTGCTTTTTCTCATATTTAGTCCTGTCTTTATATTTTGTTCTTTTTTTATATCTCTCATTCTTCTCATATCTATCTATCTATCTATCTATCTATCTATCTAGCAAAACTTTCCTATCCTTTGACAGCCTGTATAGTTATCTACTTGACTGCTCAGCCGTTATACTTACAAATAATAAATATCTATCTATATATCTTATAAATATCTATCTCAGTATTTTCACATCAGACTAAGTTGGCTAGTTAATATGTATTTATCTTACATTATTCTTTTTTCATTGCTGATTCTTAAGTAATTTCTGCCACATACTTTCTCTTTCTTTCTCTATTCTCTTTATTCACCTGTTCTTTCCTTTTGATCATATTTTTAATCCGTTTTCCCACTTGTTCTTTTTTCACATTTATTGAGTTTAGTATGGCACATGGTCAAACTGATAAAAAATGGAAGGTAGTAGGTTGTGTTACACCAATCTTCCAAGTAAAAAGGACTTATCTACTTAGAAAATCATTATTTGATATGTTGGTCTTTATTTGGGGTCTGACAGTAGTAAAAAATATGAACTATTTCAGCCAAAAGGAAATCCTAGTCTCTTTCTTGAAACTCCACTTTGAATTTTATTGTTTTCATTTAATTTCTTTTTTTCCAGTTTTGTAGATATTAACTAAGTTTAGCTTTGTATAACGCAATGCTAGAATAGGAAATAGTTTTGTGACTTCATTACTCTAAGCCAGGCATCCAAAAAGTTGGTTGGTTGCTTTTGTTTAGTGGTATATCAACTACTGGAGGTTATTTAATGCTGGGATTTAAATAATTTGAACACAATTTTATGGCTTCAATTAAATATATTTTAAATACAATTGTATGCCTTCAACTACAGATAAAATGCATTACTGGTCATTTTGCTTTAAAAATATATTGTTGATCATTTTACTATAAGTATTATAGATAGATAGATAGATATGAATAGACTGAGATAGATAAATAGATAAATTGATTTTGAATGTAAGTACTGATAAAATGTATTGTTGGTCATGTATTTTTTTATATAAAAATGTATTGTTATTATTTTTACTATTAAGATGTACTTTTATATTTTCACAGTATTTTTGTTTGGGGGGTTTACTATTTGCCCATAGCTGAGACTCTAGCAGGTGCTACCACCTTAGGTCAGGGTGGTTCTGGGAACAACAGCATTTAAGAAGTGGTTCCACGTTCCTCAAAACTTCTAATCTCCCAACCAGAGGCCTTGCTGCTGGATGTAGTTTATCGTCATGCTCAGGACTCATCCAAAAAGTATATATTTACTATGCTTGGTACTTGAATAAAGTTACAATAGTAGGACATTTGTAAGGATTGAACCCACTATACTATCTAATGGGCTTCCAAATTAGTTCACTGATTTTGTTTTAAGCTAAGCACTTGAAATTTACTAAGATTTGTTTAATATGATAGAAGGTCACAAGTTAGGATATATCTCACCACAGTAACAATGGTTTGCAAGATAAGCATTAAATTCACTTTTTGTTTATTTTTGTTTTTTTCATATATTTTTTCCTGAAATTCATTCTCTCCATGCAGTCTTTTCTTTCATTCTTCTACTTTTCTGTTAACCTCTTTCACTTTTTCCTACCTTCTTTTTATATTGATATTTACTAAGCTTAACTTAGTTTGGCCACCTGTAAAGATAAAACTCACAACACTAGCTAAAGGAATGCTTGACTAGTTTCTTAATTATCACTCTTAGCCAGGCATTTACCTTATTTTAACGTTAAAATAAAAGATGAGACAGAAGAAAAGTTACTGTTTATAATTTTTTTTTCTTTTTATTCATTTTTTTCTCTCCTCTAACCTGTTCTCCTTTTATTTGTTTTTTTCTCTAATTTTCTTCTCAATTTTCTCTCATTTTATTTCCAATCCATTTCAAAATTTTTTTTTTATTTTTCTTTCTATTGTCTATTTTCTTACACTTTTTCTTTCAAGCCACTACACTAAATTTCTAACCTACTCTCTCTTTCAGCCTTTTACATTCTCTCTCTTGTAACCTTTTACTTTCTCTCTCATTTCTCTTTCTTTCAATAGCTGAACTACTCTTGTGTTCAAATTTCTGTCATTCTCTTTCTTATCCTTCCTTTTATTCTTCTTTTCTTTCTCCACACATTGTCTCTTTCCATCATAAATGGCTTTCCCAATGCTTTTTCTCTTAACAAAGCCAAATTCTATATAATAAAAGAACTAAGTGATAATTTACTAGAAATGAGAGCTGCCAGTCTAAATTAATATGCCATCAAAGAACAACTGAAAACGTGAGATGTTGTAAGAATTGTGAAGGAAATGAACATAGGACCCATTACCAAATTTCAACGCAATCTATTTCAGAAACTCATTTTTTCCTTCTTCAGAGTTACCTGTTATTCTATTTCTGAGCCTTTTTCAATTATTTTTATGTTATTTTCATTCATGTTTCTACATTTTTTTCTTTATTTCTATGTTGTTTTCTTTCCTTTCCTTTCTTCTTCTCACTTCCCATTTCAATTCTTTTCTTTTTAATCATAATACTTTTTCTTTCTTTTCAATATTTATTTTTTTCTTTTTCCAAATAAGTCTTTTCTTTTCTTTCATTTTTCTTTTTAACTTTTTGCTTCTTTCAATTCTCTTTCAATATACACTCTGCAGTCACTTTACATTTAGTCACAAAATTCATACAGTCAACAACAACACACGTTTTTCCTCAAAACAGAAAGTTTTATCTTATACATTTTTCTTTTCAATTATTTATATTATTTTCTGAAATCAATTTCTCTCAATTTCTTTTATTGATTGTCTGTATAACCGTACCAAGATAATAAAAAATAAAACATTCAGATGACATAAAAAGAGAAACCAATCACAAATACAAGTGATTTACTTCCTTTTTCTAGAAAATGTTTTATTTCCTCATAATTTCATTTGACAGAATAAAATCATTTGGTTCTAAGTCTTAAATATTTATTTTCTTTCGCTTATTTAAGTTCAGATTATGTTTTGAATGGGTATCTTCATACTTGTAGTTTTTTTTCAAAGTTTCTGCAGATAAGTTTTGGGGGTCATATTCAAGTGTATGTTATATCTTTAGGAATATCTTAACACTTTTATCTCTTCAACAAAAACATCACAGTTTAAGATCACAAAACTAAGTGCTAAAGTTTTGGGCTAGCAGTTTTTTCTTTTTGTTTTTACTCTGGTTTCTGATATAAGAATTCAGCTGAGCAGTGGTCTTGCATATTAAAATGATTAGCTTGCTAAAACTTAGGTGCATCAATATGTTTGTAGTCTAAAAACATTTATTTTATAAAAAGAATATTTATTTTTTAACAATAATCTCCTTGTTAATGCACTTAATTCAGTGCTTTTCTATATATAAATTCAATTGAACATTTTGTTCCAGGCTTACAAACGTATCACATTGAAACACTGGTTCTCATATGATCACTAAAGTTAAGTAATGTTGAGCCTGGTCAGTACCTAGATGGGTTACCACTTAAGAATTCCAGGTGCAGTAAGCTTGCATGTGTGGGTGGTATAATGTATAATAGTTCAGAATTGGAGATGAGAGAGCAGAGTTCCAATTCCAACTGGGTTCATTATATTTACTTATATGCAAATATCCTTGGGAAAAGTATGAATTCACCTGTTCTTCTTCCCCAGCTATGGGTTAATTAGTAGAACTTATCAGTAAATCATTATTATCTTAAAAAAAAAATTCTTACAATCTAAAAATATTTTCTGGCTCTAAATAACCTGCAAAAGGTTTATAAGACATAAAATACAAGTTAGTCAATCAAGAACTTAATTCAGTACTTTTCTATATATAAATTTAACATTAGACATTGAAAATTTCAAATCAAAATTCATCTAATAAATGTGTTAAGCTATGAACATATTGTTACACTTTCATGTTTTCATTTTTTTGGTAAATTTATATTTGTTGGTTGTTTTAGCTCTGTTGCATATTAATGAAAGATTAGGATTAAAAATAATATTTTTTTCTTTCTATTGGGAAGAGTAGGGAAATAAATCTATAATTTTAATTAAGCCACTGCTTATGGTTATTATCCCTAAATATTTCAATCATTTCTTTTTAAATTAAAATGCTATGGCAGTTTTTGTTTAAGTAAAAGTAACATTCAATATAAAATTTTTCTTGCCTGGTTAAACAATGTCTTTAGCCTACATTGTTCTCAACTTTGCCTGAATTTTATTTTGTTGGCTGTGGAAACAATAATAACTTTTTAATTTCTGAAATGAGTTGAAGTTATTATTTCAGATCAATTTCTTTATCTTTGTTATTTTATCACATTTTGCGTATCTTCTAGCCTTCTTAATTTTTCAGTGTATGATATTACTTTTATATTTTATGTTTTAGGTAAACTCTTAATATTTTTTATAATTTTAATTATTATTTTTTTCATACAAAAATTTGTTAGTATAGGGCCTGAATAAAGCTGAGTGATATCTCATTCCTGAAAAATTGATATCCTTATCTTTTGCCTTCAGATTCTGGTTTGTTTTTTATATTTTTTGTTTTATTGTGAAGCCATGACCAGTGATAATCATGAAAATATTTCTTACTTTTGTTACCTTTGAATTTGAGTTATTTTCTTCCTCTTTCCACAACAACTTGTTATTGTTGTTGTTGTTGTTGTAGAAGTCATCAAAATCTGATGGCTCTTACTAGAAGTAAAGTGATAGCAAATCTCAATAGTCAAACAGTATACAAGTTGATGTCAATAATGTTATCATCCGGATGGTTTTTATATTTAAAACACAGTATGTGTCAACAAAGTACCTAAGATGTTTATTTGAAGAAATTGTTAAGTTTTAATGTATGCGTTTATTTCTATTAATGTTGTTTCTATGATTGCTTTTCATTGAGTAATTATTTTTATAAATCATTTTTCATTATTATTTATTTTTGATGTTAGAAAATCTGTTTTTAATTGATGATTTTTTGTTTGGTTTTAACTAGTTTTCAAGAAAATATTCTGCCCAGACTGAAGAAAAGACAAATAAACATATTGGAATCATTATAGGAATAATAATTTTATTGATAGTGTTGATTGCAGTGATGGACGGTTTTTGTGTTTTATGATGAAATACACATCCAAATGTTGGCAGAAGCTTATCATTTCTGATGAAGCTTACATAACATGGCACACTTCACCTGCTGCGTATATAGCACTTGAGACTAAGTAACCAACATTTTGGCATCATATAATAGCAGTTAACAATAATAACAACAGTACTTAGTATTTAAATACAAAATCTACTGATAATGAATAGGTTATATGGGAAAAAATATGACAAGAAATCAGACTATGATTATTATCAGAAGAAAAAATGTCGTTTTTCCAATTTAAATATGACACCGATCCTCAAAAGTGTATTTTAAAATTAATTATTTTCTTCATTTAAAAAGAGATTTAGCACACACACACATACTTAAACCATTATTAATGCAGTGAGTTCAAACCTCATTGAGTGCTCTATATTTCTTTATGCTAGACAAACCTAAATTTATTAATTACCCATCATGCAACAGTATTAGTATTACATTAATTCATATTCTCTGTAAAAAGTCTATTTGCCCAATATTATAATGTCAATCTAACAAATTTACAAGGTTTTTTTTTTAAATATGATCCCGCTGATATCTGCTATCTTCTTCTATTTTGAATTAATAAAATGTTTCATAATTAGCCCAAAGTTAAAAAGAAAGTAAATAAAATAATTTTTTTTAAATTTAAAAATTGTACTTGGAATAAGGATGCAATTCCCTTTGTAATTTTATTGAAGTTCTGAATCAGTCACATTTCATTATCAAATTCATTAACATTTCTAATGATTGAATGTCAAATTTTTAAAATTTCTCAAAAATTGATTTGAAAAATTAGGAACAGATTAAAATTTTCCATGTCAAAATATTAAATTACACTTGGAAGTTAGCAAACCAATCAGTAATTAACCATGTTCCCTGGGTAAAAGTGGGAGACTTGTAATATTAAAAAAGAAAACTCCTCACCTTAAGGCAAGATGTAAAACCCTTTCTAATGATGATTTTATTCTGAATTGAATTCTGTGTAATGAACAAAAAATTTGGTAATAATTGTAAAATGAGAAAAAGGGATAAAAAGTCAGAAGTGAACAGATTTAAATGATTTCTTATCAGGTAGGACTGTAAATGATGAAATAGAGCTTGCTGTAGTAGTTGCACTATTCAAGTTAACACTGCAACTTAAGGGAAAGTGCTTCTTTGGGCTTGTAAGTAGCAAATTTCCATTTCTTCCTCACTCACTACTTGACAGTGACAGAGAATTGACAATATACAGATAGATAGACAAACAGGCAAGTAGACTTAAGGCCAGCAAAAGAATCTGGAGGTAAATGTTTTGTTGACCACTTCATCACGAAATCAAAAGATGGAATTACACAAAAGAAACTCATGAAGTAAATTAAAATTGGTGCAGGACAGTTTTTCCCAGTTTATAATGACCATTAATGGTTACAAGAGAAATGTGATAAAATTATAAAATCAACAAATAATGATGTATTTAAAACTTATTTATTTATAAATTAATTAAATTCTTCATATCATTTTGACAAATTTGTTGATCACTTGTAAAAAGTATCAGTACCACACTCAGCCTTTATCTTCTACAAAAAGTCTTTATTTCTGGAAATGAAAACCAAATTACTTAATTTATCTTCATGTTGGGGACATGAAGCAGCAGCTAACTCCACTTTCAGTTTTTTGCTCTTCTTTTATGTGCCATGTTCCTTCAGGACATAGGTAATCATGGCTCTCCACTTCCCCCTAACACTTGTAGCTCTCAATATGTTTTATCCTTTCGCTACTTCTCTGAAGTCTCTCTTTCTCTCTACCTGACCTGTGAGTATCAGATTCTTGAAGCCCTCCTTTCTCACTAAGTGTTCCAGAAATTTCAGCTGCCTCTTTTTGATGTTAAGTACAAGCTTCCTCCTTGTTTGCATTCTCTTCAAAACCTCATTGTTGTTCACATGCTCGGTCTATGGTATCCTTAGCATCCTTCTGTAGAATCATACCTCTGTTGACTTGAGTCTCTTCTTCATCTTTGAGGAGACCATACAACATTTGCTGTCATATAGGAGGACAGATATAATGTAGCAGTTCAGTATTCTTTTCTTTGTTACCAATGAAATCCTTCTGTCTCGTAATACTCTGTCTAGCTTTTAAAATGCATCTTTGGCCATCCCAATACATCTTCGGATCTCAGTGTTGCACTTACCATCCTCAGAACACTTCACAGATACTTAAATTTCTGCACCTGCTTGATTTTAGTGTCCCCGACCTGTAAATCACATTTCAGGCTCATCTTTTTACTGATGACCATGCATTCTGTTTTCTTTTAGTTTATGCTTAGTCCCTAATTCTCGCTCTCCTTTGCTACCTTCTGTAGGAAGTTTTATAATTCCCTTTTCATGTCTGCTATCAGCAATGTTTCATTTGCATACCTTATGTTGTTAAGATTGTAGCCGTCAATGATGAATACTGGTAGGATTTCCAGTTCTTTCAGAATTGCCTCACTGTATAGGTTGAATAAATCTGGTGAGAAGACACACCCTTGCCTTACACCCTTTTCTATTTTTGTCTATCTGCTGAACTCATTCTCTATCCACATGGAGGCCATTTTATGCCAGTATAGGTTCTTGATTATTCTAATATCTTTCCCAAATATATCAAGGTTTCTGAGCAGTTCCAACAGATCTTTGTGGTGTACTTTGTTGAATGCCTTTGCGTATTCTATAAAACATACATGCACATCCTTCTGTATTTGTATTGCTCTTTCTGATAATATTCTGAGCATGAATGTTGCATTCCTTTTTCCAGTGTCTAATAAACTAGCACTGTTCTTGTCCTATCTCTGGCCTGATTCTGCTGCACACTCTATTCATCAGAATACAAATGATGAGGTTTGTTATGTGGATCATTAAGCTGATTGTTTGGTTGAGTTTACATTTATTTGTGCCTGGTTTCTTAGGCAGTGCTATGAAAATAGATCTGCTGAGATATTCCACAGTTGTAGATTTCATTTATTATTTCTGTAATCTTGTTTCTGTTACAATTCCACCTAGCCCTGCCACCTTGTTTCTATTCAATTTCACCATTGCAGCTTCTACTTTGGTTTTTAGAATTTCAGGCCCATCGATAGTTCTGTGTATTGCTGGTTGTTCTCTTTCATCATGGAAGATTTCTCCAATATATTCATTCCAGTGCTAAAGAATTTTTCCTTCTCTAATATGAGCGTTCCATCCTTTGATTTTATGCAGCCTGTTGACAAGCATGTCTTTTGTCCTGTTAGTTCCCTTATTTCTTTATGCATACCTCCTTTGTTGGTAGTACTCAATCTCTCTATTTCTGCACATTTATTGTTTAGCCACTCCTCTTTAACACGTCTGCATTTGGTCCTTATTTCATTGTGTAGTTTTCTGTATTTCCTTTTTTCTTCATTTTTTCTTCTTTGTCC